TTGATAGCACATGGGTCCTGTTAGGTCCAGAGAAGATGGTATTTACTTTATTAATTCATTCCCCTCTGTTTTCTACATGTTTTCTGTATAACACTGATATAAACCAGGTATCAAAAACTACATGTAAGGTATAGTTCTACATGGTAATACTTTCTAGTGATGAGGGTTATGAGGTTAATACCAGAATGGCAAAATTCTCCAAAGACGAGCAATGGAAACACACAGAATAGGGTCAAAATGGAAATATGAATGTTCTCTTACCATCTCTCGTATTTTTTCATGGCAGCCTTGAGAATCAGGAGGGATGCAATGGTAAGTATGAGGTGGGCAACCGATCTATCTCAACTGGATTCATTTCAGTCACACACTCCAGTAGTTACCTTTGTCCTTCCAGCTACATCAGACTTCTCTGTCCTCACCACCAACTGTTGCCTCTAGATATGAAATATACCCCCCCAAACTCCAAATCCAAAACACTCAGACCCATTAAAGGTTTCCCCTTTTCTTCTATTAAGAACAAAGAACACATTACATTTTTCTATGTGAAGTATGCTATTAAATAATAGCTTGTACACTAATTAAAGCAAATGTAATTGTGAGAACACACTGACATTGTTAAAGTAAATTACCCAATTTGTTAATAGTTTCATTTCAAGTGACCTTAATTGTATTAATTGTGATACTGAGCAAATTAAATTGAAGAGTATTAAATGCATTGTTCCAGACTGTCCTTAGAGGATCAACTTTCTCATTACATCAATGAAATGGGAATACTACCTACTATGCTCTTTAAAACTTGTGTCAGAATGTCGTGAACGCTATAACTTAGAGTAAAAATTTATAGCAGCTCAGAAACAGTTAACCTAGTTATCCTGTTTCAATGTAATATAAACCTCAAGCATTCGGAAATGAACAAAATAGTTTGTCAGATGTAATACACAGTGAGAAGGCAGAAGAGCAAAGCTTCTGAAATTTCTCTTCATATATTCAGGGTTTATAAAGTCTCTGCTGGAGACAAAAAAAGCTAAGGTTCATCAGTTTCTCTGAAAAAGATCCCTATTTCAGAGGGAATCATTCAAAAATATTGTTAGAAGAAAATGAACAATATCATGAAGATTTTTAGAACAGAAAATCTAGCAAGATACCATCAACTTACTGTAGTCAAAAGAAAAAATAACAATGCACATATACATATATGCATGTAAATTAAAATACAACCAGATTCAAAATATATAACCCAAAATTAAAATTTCTTAAAAGAACTAAAATCTTACATTTGAAGTATCAGATTGCAAAAGTGAGAATCCCTACCACAAATTTCTTACCAACTATTAAAAATGCTATTTAAAAAAGCATATGAGTGCATATACGCAATGCACATTTTTCTATCTTGAAAAAAAATCAGACACAAGGAAAATAACATAAGCCAAATCAACCATCAGAAAAAGACTGAAATACTCTTATCTGTTTTTTTGGAATATTTTAAAGGGATAGAAAAAAGATCTTGACTGTCAATTAGTTAACAGCCTATCCTGAATTTTGTAAACTTGCAAACAAGCACATTCTTATGACTCATCATAACTCAATATTCAAAGTTCCTCAGTTACACAAAATTTGGAGTGCTATGAACGCCCAGATCTTTCTCCAAGTGACACTTACCTCATCTGTTATGCTCTACTTTTATTTGTTCAGCTAGATAATTGTCTCCTGCCTAGCATTTGCAACATTAAACCTCGCAGCTGTTCCTAGTGAACCATGTCTTATTCTTCTCAGGCCACTTCTCCAAAATCTCAAGAATACTCTGAATTGTATGTCTGCCCTCCATTGTGCTAACAGCCCTGTCCCAAATAAACCGTGTTTTCTCTCTGTACCTTCACTAAGATTTTAATAAAAGCACTGAGTACTACTAGACTCAATCAATGTATTACTGGAATCCCATCCAATATATTCTTCCAAGCTGACAGCAAATGAACAAAAAGTAGTCTATGCATGCAGTTTTCCAACCAGCTATACTTAACAGCAATCCATGTATTTCTGAAATTTCTTTCCAAACCGTGTTTTCTCTTTGTACCTTCACTAAGATTTTAATAAAAGCACTGAGTACTACTAGACTCAATCAATGTATTACTGGAATCCCATCCAATATATTCTTCCAAGCTGACAGCAAATGAACAAAAAGTAGTCTATGCATGCAGTTTTCCAACCAGCTATACTTAACAGCAATCCATGTATTTCTGAAATTTCTTTCATTTTATGAAAATGCCTTGTGGGAGAATTTCAAAACTCCAGCTGGACATGACATCTCCTGGTTCTCTATCAAGTTTTGGTATCAGTTGCACATACTAAAAATACAATACTTCATGTAGATTAACAAATCTGACTAGCTCTATGATTAAATATTTATTTTCAGCATCCTTATCAGTGACGTGCTTTATTTTTATCACCTCATCTCAGTGAAGACTTCTATCACTCTGCCTCCAAGGTAATACTTTAAGCATTCAGCAGAGCTTCAAAAAACAATTCAGATGTCCTGATATTCCACAATATTGCATAGAACATCTCCGACTGATGGACCACCTCTCTTGCAAATTCCTATGAGACATGATACAAAGGACTTGAAGATACAGCTTTTCACCAAGTGATTCTGTATCATGCCTGAAACTTGGGGCCGAGTTGAAAAACCTTGTCTTGAAATACTTCTGTGAAGACAATGACGGACAGACTACATGGATGGGAACAACTGTATACTTTGATGCCCAGAAACCTAACACCATCTAAGCATATGCTGTTTCTAAAATGAAATATTAAAACTTCAAAGACTTACTTTGTATAGATAAAGTTTCCAATTAAAATGCAGTATGTGTTTCACAGTAAAAAAACCTATGAAGATGAAATGGATGCTTTATATAAAATATTTACATAGATAGAACATAAAAAATGTACCATAGTTGGTAACCTTTATGACTTGGGGAACCATGTATTTACATATCTTTATCTTCGCATGTGCGTATGTGTGTGTTGTGTATATATTTTTAACAGTTGACAGCTGTTTTAGAGCATACAGAGATGCCAAGCTGAATGAGGGTCTTGATTACTTCAAGATTAGCTATCTAAAGTTTCTATTCATTTTAAGTGTTGTTAGTGTGAAGAGTCATTAGTCACTTCCTTGTCTCATAGAACATCAGCATACATTTACATTGTTAATGAACATTTGGGGTAAATGAATTAATGGCACTTTTAAACATCAATTCAATACTAATAACTTTGTATGTCATAGAAATGTTAAGGTTGGGATAAAAATGAGAAACCTTTTCAGTCAAGGTAACTAATCGCTTCTGGGCACAATAAAGGGTAAAATTAATTTACAGTGTTTTTTTAACAGGATAAAAATCTTGGTTTTTCTTGAAACAGGGTTGAGAGAATTACCAGTATTTTTTAAAGGAAAAAAATCAGAAGAAAATGCTTATCTTTTTCTTGATTGAGGAAGACTAGAAGCAAGCTATATTTCCTCTGGAAAATGGCTATTATTTTAGGTTATCGCAAAAGATTATTTTCAAGTTTCTAAAAATATGTAAAAAAATGCATTTAGTTTATCAAACTAAAATGGCTCCATATCGTTAAGATGTCAAATATAATAGAGGAGGAACACTGACCTAGAAAAGCTATTTCATTTAATCGTCAGGTTTTAAAATACTTCCCCCTAGATGTTCATTCTCATTTTCTAACATTGAAAAAGCTTTATAAACCAATGAAGAAAAAATGAAAAAAAATTAGCTCAAAGGGACAATGAAGTTTTACCAATATATTTTAAAGCAAAACATCAGCTTCTTATAAACTGAAGTAATAAACCTGACTAAGCAAAACTTGACTAGCTTTTTTAATAAGCACTAGTAAAAAGAAGATTTACAGACAGATACACCCACACAGAGAAGTTGATCTGGGTGAGGGACTTAGGAAATGAGACGAAGTTGTTTCAACTCTGCAATTTAAAATAAATTTTTTATTAGGAAAAATTTCTTCACCGAAAGGGTTGTCAAGTATTGGAACAGGCTGCCCAGGGAAGCGGTTCAGTCACCACCCCTGGAGGTGTTTAAAAGATGTGTGGACGTGGCACTTATGGACGTGGTTTAGTGGTGGACTTGGCAGTGTTAGGTTTATGGTTGGACTCAATGATCTTAAGGGTCGTTTCCAACCTAAATGATTCTATGATTCTATGTGTTCAATGACTGGAAAATTACAGGTAGTTAAGGTGCCACTGTGTATAACTGAGTACTTGAGGAATGTTTTCATGACAAGGACGAGCTTTCTCATTAAGCTTATCACTTTCTTCAAACCAACTATACTGTCACTACTAGCAAATAAGTAGAAAAGACAAGCAACACAGACATGCATTGCATTATGCAAGCAGTTTGTTCTCACTGTTCATTAGAGTCTTCCAAATACTGCATTTAATTAATTTACCTTAGGTTACACAGTAATTTCTACCTTTAGAGCCTGTTCATTTCATCTCAACTTCCAGGTTTTTTTTCAAATAAGAATATAGGTGCTGAGTCAAACAAAAAAAAAGGAAAATCAGCCTTTTTATTTTCATAATCTCATCCAAAATAACACACTGAACTTTACTGCAGAATTAAAAAAAAAAAAAAACAGAAAAAATCCCTAAAACCAAAGCAGTGTAAGAGCCCATGCTTGAGAAAGTAACAAAAAGCCATGCTGCATTTCACTATTCTTATGCTGAAGTCAGTGTTTGGTTTATGATTAAAAAAGGACGACAGCGCATTAAACATTTGGCTAATGTTTCTGTCTGTAATTGAAAGTTGACTTTTCGTGGTTTTCATTAGTGTCAGAGTGTTCTACACATACTCTGTGAAATGTTCTTTAAGTTGCCCTGTTCAGCTTCATTGTGAGAATTAAACAAATTATGACAAGTACAGTTATCGTGACACACATATAAGGTTTCTAGGTATAAAGTCAAAAAAGCACAGGAATACAAAACTCACCTTCCCCTGGCTTGTTCAAATAACTCTGCAAGGGATCAATGCCTATTTCTTGTTCCTCTGTTTGCAAAGGGTGACTGGTTTCAGACACAGAATGATACATATTGGCAATAGTAAATTCCAACTGAGGCGTATTTATCTGGAGGGAAAAAACAGAGAAACAAACACTTCAGTGTTTCTTTAGCTATTTTTCAATCGCACAAGTCAATAGCAAAAATGCTTAAAACCTTTCCTTATTTTCCAGGCGTAACATCACCATTAGAAGTCTAATAACAGAACAATAGTGTTTCCATTCAAATGTTTTATTATTTGGAGTCCAAAAGAATTGTTATAGTACCTCCAACTATCATACTGCCAGTAAAAGTCCAAGCATGTTTTCGACAGACTGTAAAGTGGGGCAGGAGCCTCTTTCCTTCCTTTTTATAGCTTCCCCAACTCATCTTTTAGTCCGATTCTAGGAAGAACTGATGCTAGTCCTTGGGGATGATGAAGATTATAGAGCAAAGCTGAGGTGAGACCCATCATCATCACTCTTCTGGACTCAGGACCTCTTATCCTAGAAAAACTTCCTTTTAACCACTTCTTTTTCAGAAATCATAGGTCAAGTATAAGATAACAGAGAGAGGGATGCAAACACATGCAAAAAGAGAGAATGAGATAATACTGACTGGTATGATGGCTGATTTCCATTTTATCAAGATTTATATTAGCTTTCTAGAAAGATGGTGTTAAGGAAGCATTTGAAGAAACATAATTGCCTAGCTAGTGAATATTTACAAAGAAGTTCTTCCAAAAATGAACGGCAAAAGGGGAGAAAGCACAAAACCGAAAACCCAGGAAGGAGGTGACGCGGGTTCATCATCACAGGCTGCTGAATGGCATTCACATCACTATCACGGAAGTGAACAAGAACTGTGTTAGAAGTTTATGTGAGGAGTGTTGGAAGCTAATATTGGCTGCAACGAATAAGAGGATGCCAATAAAAGGGTGAAAAGCAGATGGTGTTATGGTCAGAGCAGTAAGAAGGAAAAATGACCTTTCTAGTGCATTAACAGTGCGAGAGTACATTTGTCAAGACTGCATTTTGGTCACTGTACAGCAATTTATTAACTTGCAACACAAAAGAACCACACCAGCCAAATAGGTTTGATTTGCCCAAGCGCACTAAGTAGCTACCTACAACTGCCAGCTGAGTTTTAAATATCACTTACTGTGGCTGCTTAGTTTACAAGTACCAGAACTTTCTAATGCCAAGAAAATTGTATTTAAAAAGAAATATACAAACACAAAGCGGTATGCACCTACACTTTCAGGACTGGTATATTATCAGTTTGGAAATCACTTCAGTTACACTTTTCTTTTGGTTCTTAGAAGGCATAGCGCTGACCATATATGCTTTGTAACTTTGGTTTACTGTCAATAAATGAAGGGGGACTGGGATTCTTAAGAACTTTCTAGTTTCAGACACTATTCACCTGCTTCATTTTCCTACTAAGTTCTGTGAAAAAAAAATATACTAGATAATAAACAAAGCTAGTTGGGCCACTGTTAGGCATTTCCTTCAAACCAATGCACCCAGACTGTTTCAAAAGGATGCTCTCTCAGCTGTATTCCCTGAGGGTTTTGTCCTTTATTTGCCCCGGCACCTGCATTAGCGTGGTGCTGAAATGATCGCACCATCATCTCTCACTACTTTTTAGATAGAAGAGAACATCCGAAGCGCTTGGGAAGAAGGAGCCAGGAACTGAGGGAAGGTAGGACTGCCTGCTTTTGCAAATTTTTACAATCATACAATCATATGATAAAACACACCACTAAAACACAGAATTGCCTCGAACAACTCTTTGTACTAGCTGAACAAAGCATATTACGAATGCAAGTACACACCATGTGTTTCCCATGTAATTTATAAACCATAATAATGAAAAATGCATGGACGGTAACTTGGAGAAAAACATTTATAAACTTGCTAGCCACTTAAATAACATTTCAATGTTTACCTGCAGTCTTATGGCTATATAATATAGAGAGATGTTTATAACTACCTGATATCTTAAATAAATAAATGAAAAACTTGAAAGAATTTGCTTTAACAAAAAAAAAAAACAACCCACAAAAAACAACTTTGCAGAAAGAGATATTTATAATTTTCTCCTGCTGGAATTTTAGTTGCTGCTCTTGTTCCCTTTACTATATCATTGTAATTACCTTTCTACTGATCCGTTGATTTTGTCTTCACAAAAATTACAAGCTTATTTCGAACTGTGCTGCCAGAATTTGACTTTTTATTTTTATGGTCCTTCAGACATTGCTACACGATCTGACCAAGGCACAACGCCGAGTGCCTTTCAAACTGAGAACCAGGCACAAAATGACCTTACCAGCCTTCGTAGTTTTAGCAGCCACCACTTAGTTAAGACACAATATGCTTCAGACTTACATTGTCTTACATCCATAACACAATATGAAATTAGCTCTAGTAAGTTTGTTCTTCTATATTCTTCTGTTCTGTATCCACCTTCTCTTGTTTTAAATACTCCCCAAATGCCATGCCTTTACAACATATAGAGCCATAATTTACTTTACAGACGGTTAGAGCAGTTTTAAACAGCTGAATAGATTTACTTTTGATACTAGCACAGTGATTTAATCAGTTACTCGTGTTTGTTTACGGATACATTTGATTAGTGTTAAAAAAAATATCACTACCTATTAGTCTTGTCACTCCTTAGTCCAAGCAATTTTCTTTACAGTTTTATACTTAAGTTCTCTTCAGCTCTTCTAACAAAGAGCAAAGAGAACTATTAAACAATTATGATTACACTTGGAATCTTACTCTGAGACAGATTAATTCTTTACAGGTTTGTGGTTGATTTCTAATGGCCTATAACATATTGTTGATATTAAATAAGATGCAATTTAAAAACATTCTCAATGTGAAACAATAAAAATGTTATAAAAATCTGAAATTCAATTATTAGACTGCAAGAGTGGATGCTGGCTATCTAGTTAAACCCTAACATCTCAGTCAAAGCTAAAAGTGACTATTTTTTTTTCCCTCCAAAGATGAAGGGCTAAAAAACCCGAAGACCAGGCACCCTTCCCAGCACCAGGAGTTCAACTATCCTTTAATATACATGAAAAAATAATTAAGGCTGCATATGAAACATTTATCTACTTAGGGGAATGAAAAGAGACACTAATCCACCTGTGAGCCCAAGGAAAAGACAGGCATATAAACTCCTGGCTACTCTCCTTAAGTACGCGAGCAGGGGGAGCTCTCATGCACCGAGGACAGCATCACAGGTTTGCTCCTCACCAACCAACGCACGTGGAGTGAAACCAGCCTGCCTTCCAGTGAAGGCAGCTTGTCAGTACATCTGTGACGTGTCAGCCCAGGTTCTCAACGGAGACCAAAAATCCCTCAGAAGATAGGCTTATGGACTCCACCACAGAACTCCACTGGATATTAAAGGGACTCTATGGCGATACTTGCTTACAGCACATCATCCTCTCTCCCCGTGACCTCCTCCATATTCCATGGGTGATAAAATACCAACCTGTTTCCATTAGGAGAAACTTAACTGATGTTTACTAACATTTACCTTACTAACAACCTCTTTCTACACAGCAGGGATCAACTACTTGTTGTATTAGATAGCCTGATTTAACATACCCATTTTAATTCAGAGAACTTTTCTTGTTCTCAGTGAGTACTTAGCTTTGAAGTCTGCTGCTTCTTTTTTAGACATGAGGAGGTTTGTGCACCTGAGAGTTTACAAATTTTTTGCCTTCTGTATTAGCTGCTCTAACACATGATATTACTTCTACCACCTCTTGCCATAAATTAGTCTTTCTTACACAGTCGTGCCTTCATCAGCATTGCCATTCTTCCTGTATATAAAACCTGTGAGTTTGAAATGCTTAAAAAAAATAACATTTAGTCATATCTATCTATCTAGAAATACAAGACAAAGATAAAAGTCCAAGTGAGATATGCTTCTATCGTTAGGCTGCCCTGCAATGAAGCACCAGTCATGTCTGCACCGGAGTTGGGCAAAACACGGCAAAAATGTATTACACGAATATAAAAGTATACAGCTATAACCAGAACTGTACAAAAGTAATCTGTGTCAGCATTGCCATTCTTCCTGTATATAAAACCTGTGAGTTCGGAATGCTTAAAAAAAATAACATTTAAAACATTCAAAATGAAAACCACTTCTTCACCAGACTGTCAGTGGCAACAGCCTGAACTCAGCCATATTTCATCTTCCATTAATATGCAAAAGTCATATCTATCTATCTAGAAATACAAGACAAAGATAAAAGTCCAAGTGAGATATGCTTCTATCGTTAGCTGAACTGCCAATGAAGCACCAGTCATGTCTGCACCGGAGTTGGGCAAAACACGGCAAAAACATGTATTACACGAATATAAAAGTATACAGCTATAACCAGAACTGTACAAAAGTAATCTGTAATAAGATAATAATAAATTTTCATATAATAAACTGATTATAATGAATGTTCAATTAGAAGATGAAAAGTTCAAAATAAAAACAAACTTTATAGAGTTCTTTTAACAGTGAGACTATTCATTACCACGAAAGCAAGTGGCAAGACTATGCTAATCTCAAAAATTTTGATAAATTTTAAATCAGTATTTAATAAACAAAACATAGCACAGTTGAACATGAACACTGTACCTTATTTCAAGTCATAAGATATTCATTTACCTCTTCACTTGCAACAGATACTGAATACCAATATTCAGTATTCAAAGGAGCAGTTTATGGATAACAAGCATTGTTTCAAAAATAGTTACTAAATTATTTCAATTTAAAACCCCCTAAAAACACCTCATCTAAAACGTTCCCCTTAATCATCAGTGTTTATACAGACTTTTAAAAATTATTTATTCAAACTACAAACCACACCAAAACATATCAAAATTAATGTTTAAAATGTGAAGAGTATACATACTGTTTGGGCAAAATTAGAAAATATAATCGGTCTCACAAAGGGTATTTTGGAGGTATAACTGAGTCGGTGAAAAAGAATTAGGCAATTCTGAGCTTTTACAGCATCCATTTCCCTTCTCTTCCCGCCCCCAGTGGTGACATGAAAGGAACTGCA